TTTCAGCACTATTCCATATAAGAGTCCCTACTGCTTCAAATAAAGAATAATTAAGTGTATACTAATTTTATATATTTAGACTAAAACAAAAAACAGTTGGAATTTTAGATATGAACAAAATGTGGAATATGTTTGCACAAATATTATTTCATAAAGAATGCACACTTTGAAACAAAGGTCACCTTTTTACACTGAGTCTAATGTGCATGTTTTTTCTATGTAAAAGATACTATTGCCTAAAATAGAGATCAAATAGTATGACAAAAGAGTTGAAATATAATTATAGTTATTGCCTTTTTTTAGAACACATATGGAGAAATAGTAATATATGATAAGACATATACAATAACATAACATTTTATTATAATGTTTCTTTTTTCTTCTATTTGCATTGTATAACTGTATATGAGCCAAAGAGGACTCTAATATGAACTGCAAAAAAACCCCCAGTGCGGACTATATTTCCCACAAAGAACCGGACGAAAACCGGAAGTGACGCGGTAAGCGCAAAGCACTCTGGATCTTGTAGTGCCGAAAACCGGAAGTGACGCGACGGCATTTTAGCCGCGTCACATGACACAAAAGGACCAATCTGATTGGAAGATGACATTTTAGGCGGGATTTTGGACGCTTAAATTACAGAACATGAAGAGGACACTCACAAGCTGACTGAGGAAGCCGTTTTTACCGGCGAAACGCGTTTTGGCTTTTAAAGTGGACTCATTATTTTTCCTGAACCACCAATACTTGCAATAATTTGTTCTTATCCAATTTTTTATTTTCTAGAAAAATATTTTTATACTGTTTTTATATATATTGTAATAAATTCCCTTATTTTATACTATCCACTGTATCCAGCACCAGTGATTCCAGGGAAGGGGCAGTGTCACCCCACAAACTGACACTAGGCTTATACACTTAGAGCCAGTTACCAAAAGGCTCTAAATAAGGTGAGCACTTCAATTTGTTATTTATAAGAAAATATCATAGAGGATGCTACACTTAGTTGGATAATTCTGTGTCTTTCATATATACGCTGGGGAGAGAAAAAATACACACTTAACCTGGAGAGAGGGGTCGTGTGATCTACCCTTAAAGACACAGATGCACGAAAGTTTAGAGCCTAATTCACTTGAAAAGGATCTAAAAAATGTGAGTGGAGATATATATGTTACCCACTAAACACTTCACTAAAGTAATAGATATACTGCACAATTATCTGTATATATTTCTGTTTTCTTTTGTATATGTACTACATTGGAGAATATAAAGGATAATTGCCTTTGAATCACAGGTAATTCACTGTGTTTTCACACACTACACAGCGCTGCACTCATAAAGATAGAAGACCTGAGGGGTGGTAACACCCATTAGATCTGAAATCTTTTTCGTCTTTTGGTGTTTATCTTTGTATGGTGGGCTTTTAGGAGTACCCATAGAGTGTAAACAGCAGCTAAAATATACTGTTCACATTAATTACTCAGCGCCACATATTCCACACCTACTGTTAATATATTCAATATGTCATTGTTTGTATCTGCATGTGTGTAAGTGTGTGTATCTATGTGTGTGTTAGTATATCTGTGTTTGTGTATCTGAATGTGTGTCAATGTTTGTGTCTGTATGTGTGTCCGTGCTTGTACCCGTGTGTCTGTACATCTATATGTGTGTCAGTGTGTGTATCTGTGTGTCTGTATCTGTATGTGTGTCAGTGTTTGTATATGTGCATCTGCATGTGTGTCAGTGTGTGTATCTGTATGTGTCAGTGTTTGTATCTGTTTATCTGCATGTGTTTTAGTAGGTGTATCAAAGTGTCTGTGCAACTGTATGAGTGCCAGAGTGTGTATATGTGCATCTACATGAGTGTCAGTGTACGTATGTATGTATGTCGATGTTTGTGTATTTGCATGTGTGTCAGTGTGTGTATCTGCAATGTATGTATGTATATATATATATATATATATATATATATATATACACACACATATACACACAGTTGATACTCAAAAAATTAAAATATTGTGCAAAAGTTAATTTTTTTCAGTAATGCAACATGATAGGGGAAACTAATATATGAGATAGATGCATTACATGCAAAGCAAGATAGCAAGATAGTTCAAGCCGTGATTTGTCATAAGTGCCCCAAATCCACAATCTCAGTAAATTAGAATATTACATGCAATCAATAAAACAAGGAGTGTACATAGAACAATATTGGACCTCTGAAAAGTATAAGCATGCATATGGACTCAGTACTTGGTTTGGGCCCCTTTTGCAGCAATTACTGCCTCAATGCGGCGTGGCATGGAAGCTATCAGTCTGTGGCACTGCTGAGGTGTTATGGAAAACCAGGATGCTTCATTAGCGGCCCTCAGCATTTCTGCATTGTTCGGTCTAATGTCTCTCATCTTTCTCTTGGCAATGCCCCATAGATTCTCTATGGGGTTCAGGTCAGCCGAGTTTGCTATCCAATCAAGCACAGTAATCCCACGGTCATTGAACCAGGCTTTGGTGCTTTTGGCAGTGTGGGCAGGTGCCAAGTCCTGCTGGAAAATTAAGTCAGCATCCCCATAAAGCTTGTCTGTAGAGGGAAGCATAAAGTGCTCCAAAATCTCCTGGTAGACAGCTGCGTTGACCCTGGACTTAATGAAGCACAGTGGACCAACACCAGCAGATGACATGGCTCCCCAAATCAACACAGACTGTGGAAACTTCACACTGGACTTCAAGCATCTTGCAGTGTGTGCCTTTTCATTCTTCCTCCAGACTCTAGGTCCTTGGTTTCCAAATGAGATGCAAAAGTTGCTCTCATCAGAAAAAAGAACTTTGGACCACTGAACAACAGACCAGGTCTGTTTTTCTTTAACCCAGGTAAGACGCTTTTGATGTTGTTTGTTGTTCAAGAACGGCTTGACAAGAGGAATACGACATCTGAAGCCCATGTCCAGGATCCATCTGTGTGTGGTGGCTCTTGATGCACTGACTCCAGACTCAGTCCACTCCTTGTGAAAGTCCCCAACACTTTTGAATGGCCTTTTCCTGACAATCCTCTCCAGGCTGCGGTCATCATTGCTGCTTGTGCACCTTCCACACTTTTCCCTTCCACATAACTTTCTATTAATGTGCTTTGATACAGCACTTTGGAAACATCCAACTTCCTTTGCAATTACCTTTTGAGGCTTTCCCTCCTTATGGAGGGTGTAAGTGATGGTTTTCCGCACATCTGTCAGGTCAGCAGTCTTCCCCATGATTGTGATTCCTACTGAACCAGACTGAGAGACCATTTAAAGCCTCAGAAACCCTTTGCAGTTGTTATGGCTTACTTAGCTGATTAGAGTGAGCCTGGAATATTGCACCTTTTCATAATATTCTAATTTACTGAGATTGTGGATTTGGGGTTTTTATGAGCTGTAAACCATAATCATTACACTTATGACAAATCACGGCTTGAACTACATCGCTTTGAATGCAATGCGTCTATCTCATATATTAGTTTCCGCTTTTACATTGCATTACTGAAATAAATTAACTTTTGCACGATATTCTAATTTTTAGAGTATTACCTGTGTGTGTGTGTATATATATATGTAGGAATGTATATAAAAAATACCCCTTTCTGTCTCATTAGAGATATTTTTGCCAGAAGCTCAAGGAAGCAAGGCGAATGGTTAGTGTTAGGACCCACCTAAGAGGTCTGACTTGATGTGGCAGGTGGGCTTACCCTCTCATGGCCATTGGAAGTAACTAAAAACCTCCATTTGTTTAGAAATACATAGGGATGTGGAAAGAGCGCAGGTAACTTTTTTTTCTTTGGTTTTACTTTATTTTGGCTGATGTGTACTATAGTCATTGCTGCCACACAGGAGTAATGAGAGTTTGAGCGCAGGGCTAGTTTCTTTGTATTTTTATTCACTTTTGTATCACACAGCTAGGTTGCAATGCTGCTGCCCATCCCATGTGTTCCCTATTAAGGTTTAATAAGCATGTAGGGATGTATATAAAAAATACCCCTTTCTGTCTCAATTGGATTCAGGTCTGGGGAACGGGCAGGCCAGTCCATAGCATCAATGCCTTCATCTTGCAGGAACTGCTGACACACTCCAGCCACATGAGGTCTAGCATTGTCTTGTATTAGGAGGAATCCAAGGCCAACCGCACCAGCATATGGTCTCACAAGGGGTCTGAGGATCTCATCTCGGTACCTAATGGCAGTCAGGCTACCTCTGACGAGCACAAAGAAATGCCACCCCACACCATTACTGACCCACTGCCAAACCGGTCATGCTGAAGGATGTTGCAGGCAGCAGAACATTTTCCATGGCTTCTCCAGACTCTGTCACGTCTGTCACATGTGCTCAGTGTGAACCTGCTTTCATCTGTGAAAAGCACAGGGTGCTAGTGGTGTCCTCTGGCAAATGCCAAACGTCCTGCATGGTGTTGGGCTGTAAGCACAACCCCCACCTGTGGACGTCGGGCCCTCATACCACCCTCATGGAGTCTGTTTCTGAACGTTTGAGCAGACACATGCAAATTTGTGGCCTGCTGGAGGTCATTTTGCAGGGCTCTCATTGCACAAAGGCGGAGGTAGCGATCCTGCTGCTGGGTTGTTGCCCTCCTACAGCCTCCTCCATATCTCCCGATGTACTGGCCTGTCTCCTAGTAGTGCCTCCATGCTCTGGACACTACGCTGACAGACACAGCAAACCTTCTTGCCACAGCTTGCATTGATGTGCCATCCTGGATAAGCTGCACTACCTGAGCCACTTGTGTGGGTTGTAGACTCCATCTCATGCTACCACTAGAGTTAAAGCACCGCCAGCATTCAAAAGTGATCAAAACATCAGCCAGGGATGGAGGCGGGACATCCGGTCGGACGGAGCGGTCGCATGCTGTAATAGCTCCATGATCGTAACAGCCTAATAAGTGGCGAAAAAAGCGGCAAAATAACCCTTACCACCCTGCCAAGGTGTCCAACAGTAGGGGAACCTCTTATCCAAACGATGGCAACCCCAAAATCTCAAAAAGCATCAGATTTTTTCCGACAGGGAAAGAAGGACAAGCAACGCTCAGAGCAAGATGGCGGCGGCTCCCGCTTACCCACACACACCTCGGACGCAGGATCAGACACGAATTCGAGGCAAGCAACTGCTGATGACCTCTCTGTGTCGGAGAAATGCCTGGCGGCCATGCTGCAGGAACTACGCACCTCTATGAAAACAGATTTCCAGGCAGCGTTCTCCGACCTGCGCAAAGACATTCTTGAAGTGGGGACACGAGTGAATGCGTTAGAAGAAAAAACAAATGAGCTCTGTCATGTAAATGACTCCATAGTGGAGAAAATACAAAAGATGGAAGCAGATAGCAAACGCCTTATGGAAAAACTGGCAGACCTAGAAGACCGCTCCCGCCGCAATAACATCCGCGTGCGTGGAGTGCCAGAAACAGTAACGCAGGAGCTGCTGTCAGCCTACCTGATGCGGCTTTTTCAAGCAATCCAACCAAACCTAGAGCCGGCGGATCTCCGCCTGGACCGGGCACATCGAGTGCCAAAACCTCAAAACCTTGCACATGAAGTCCCAAGGGACATAGTGACCAGACTGCACTATTATAGTGCTAAGGAAGCCATACTTTTTATATATATATATATATATTTTTTGCCTCACCACTACAAAATTTGGTCAGCCCCACCCTGAAACTGCGAGACCCTAATCTTAAGCAATAAGACTTGCCGCTCAAGAGCCTTGCAAAGACTGCTTACAATAGTGGGCAAAGGGACTACACCCAATAAAAACCAAACCCAGCAAGGCCGGCCAAATAACTGCAGGGCACGGAAGATTAACTCATCCCCCACCCCCCACCCCACCCACCAACTTCCAAGGGAGAAGCACATGCCCGACCTACTCACGGACTTATGCAAAGACCGGGTTCTAAAAGAGGTATAGGCTTCACCGAATATCAGACGCCCCTTCGGTACTCTTACGGGACACCACCCTCCGCTGTGACCCCCTCTCAGTGCAGTAGATGGTGTGAGCTCGGTGGTGGGGTCCTCCACATAATGCTTAATAGCTATTTGATATGTATATACTTTGTTTCTGTTATTTGGTTTGGTTATCAAGGTTATGAATCAGGTTGTTCTCCTTGCCCTAATCTCCTTCCCGAGATGCTCCCCCTCCACTATTGTGTAAGACACGGGAAAAAACTAGACTCATCCTACCAGATTTATTATGTAGCAGTAATGGGTAATACTACACCCAAACAACTAGGCCCTAAGGCCACTACAACGATTTAAAATGACCTCTGCCCATAAATTCTGTTTAGTGTCTATAAATGCCCATGGACTGAACACCCCACAAAAACGCAGGCTGGCGCTATCCCAATTACGCACGCCTCTGTAGCCTGCATACAAGAAACCCACTTTTTGATCAAAACCCACCAAAATTCTTGTCCACATCTTATCCACAAGCCTACCATGCCCCAGCACCAAATAAGACACGAGGTGTCAGCATCCTATTTCACTCTGATTGGCAATTTAAATGTGAAGTGGAATACAAAAGCCCTGATGGCAGGCTTTTAATACTAGTAGGATCACTAAATAACGTCCAGGTGACCGTAATCAACCTTTATGCCCCCAACACCAACCAATATGACTTTATTAGGAAAGCTTTACGACGAGTAGACCAGCTAAAAAATGGGCAGACGCTTATATGTGGGGACTTCAACTGTGTACTGGACCCTGATCTAGATAGGACCGGCAAACCTGGCTCCCACCTGCGATCCACACAATTAGAAGCAAAGGTATCAGCACTTATCAACTCACACAGCCTACATGATACATGGCGGGCACTATACCCAACCTAAAGACTACACATTCTACTCTAAGGTACATGATCAATACTCCTGGATAGACATGTGCTTAGTGGATGCAAAAACACTAGATACTTTAGACCAGTGTTTCCCAACCCAGTCCTCAAGGCACACCTACCAGTCCAGGATTTAGGGATTACCCAGTTGTTTCTAAGGTGTTTTTACAAAGAAGAAAAAAAACACCATAGACACAACTGGGTAATCCCTAAATCCTGGACTGGTAGGTGTGCCTTGAGGACTGGGTTGGGAAACACTGCTTTAGACGAGGTCGCTGTAGCGACCTCGTCTAAAGTATTTACTACACTCTACCCGGTCCGAGGTCGGGGACAGTGGAGACTCAATGAATCACTGATAGACAGTGTAGAGAGGGCGGCCGAGATAAGGAGTGCCCTGGCACACTACTTTGTGGACAACCACTACACCGACGTCGCCATGACATGGCTTGCCCATAAGGTGGTCACGCGCGGTCTGCTCATACGACAGGGGGCGAAACTGAAGCGCCAAATGACAGAAAAAAGCAGGACCTTGCTAACCGATTAAAAGCAGGCTGAAACACGACACAAGACCTCTCCTACAGACTTCCATAGGCAGGAGGTACAAAAGATCAGGGCCACCAGAGAAGCCCTACAGATGCAGCAAGTCAAAACGGGCAATTCGCAAAATGAAAACCAACTACTATAGACAGGGAAACAGAGCTGGCAAAATATTAGCCTCCCAACCCAGGGAACGGAACTTGCAGGTGAAAATCCCATACATCAAGGACAACATGGGCACTTAGATTAGACGAATTTGCTAAATTTTACGCAAGGTTAAACAACCTATCTGAGGATGCCACCCAACACCAACCCAGCCCCCAAGACATTGCCACCTTCCTGGAGGGGGTGACTCTCCCCCGACTCTCCAATGAACAAGCCACCGCATTGACCAACCCAATTGTAGCCACCGAAATATCCAAAGCTCTACATGACACACCGAGACACAAAGCCCCAGCACCAGACGGCTTCTCCACCCACTACTACAGGGTCTTTGAGGACCAACTGCTTCCCCACCTCACGGCCTTATTCAACCACATCCTAGAGACAGGTGATATACCCCCAGAAATGTTGGAAGCCACTATTATTACGCTCCCCAAACCAGGCAAAAACTACAGACTTGTGTGCAAATTACCACCTAATATCACTCCTTAACGCTGACACAAAGTTGTTTGGAAGGTCCTTGCGAACAGAATCTGCCCTATATTAGTTCAATTAGTATCCCCGGAATAGTCAGGGTTTGTCCCCGGGTGACAAGTGGAGGACAACACCAGGCAAGCCCTTGACATAATGGAACTCATGAACAGGGACAGGTCACAGGGCTTGTTGATGGCCTTAGACGCGGAGAAGGCCTTCAACAGGCTCCACTGGGGCTATTTAACAGAGGTCCTTCGCATGTTCAACTTCCCGACAAAATTCCTGACCAGGCTCCTATCCCTTTACTCGTGCCCCCAAGCCACAGTCATGAACTCCAGTTTCATCTTCAGATGATTCGCCCTAACGAACTGCACACGGCAGGGATGCCCCCTATCCCCCCTCATTTTTATCCTGGCAATGGAGCCTCTACTTCATAAAATCAATGCAGCCCCCTCCCCAATAGGCCCACAAAAAATAGCAGTATTTGCTGACGACATTCTTCTCTTCCTAGCAAACCCCTCGGATTTCCTACCAGCTCTCCTGCACCTATTACAAGAATATGGCAGAGTCTCTTACTACAAAAATAATGTAGCAAAAACACAAGTACTCCCATTGAATATGCCCCGATCCCAACTCACGACCCTACGAACACTATATCCCTTTGAATGGAGGAAGGACACCCTTTCCTATCTAGGCACGCAACTGGCACCTTCCAAGCAGCTCCTCATAAAACATAACCATGGGCATCTCATAGCGAAAATAGAGCAGCTGCTGGAGGGCTGGGGAAACAAAAACAAAAACACATCCTGGTTGGGGCGCATTAACACCATAAAAATGATTATACTACCACAATTCTTATTTCTATTCAGGGCCCTGCCTATCAGTCTACCAAACTACACCCTTCGAGCGTTCCAATGCCTTCTCAACGCACACATTTGGAGGAAAAAAACACCTAGGGTCTCACTAGCGAACATAAGTGCAGCTATGGGGGGATGTGGGGTGGGTGTGCCACATATAACCAAATACTACCTAGCAACTAACTTATCTCAGACAGCGTGCCTCCTCTCCTCCTCGGACTGCCCACTGTGGCACCAACTGGAAAGTGCGGTTTGTGCACCCCACTCCCTTGGGGACTTAGTTTGAATTCCAGCCAAAGCCCAACCTCGTCTCACCAACCTTCTTACAACAACCAAGCTGTCCCTTCAGCTATGGCTGCGATGGGCCCCGAAAATGCTCAGTGAGAAAATGGAGACCTTTGCCCCACTAATAAGTCTCCAGCACCACACACATGACCTGGCCCTGAGTGAGTTGATAAATAGAGGGGTAATGATGATAACACACCTCTATGGGGCAAACGGGCTGCTGCCGTTCCCAGATCTCCAGAGGCAGTACCTTCTACCAAACAGCGAAATATTCATGTATTTAAGCATAAAACACATAGTAGGGGATACCAATAAGGCAATGACAACTACAAAATCTCAAAACCTCTTTGACTTACTATGCCAAGGCCTAAACCCCCCACCACAAAACACTCTCCCTATGTTACCAAAGGTTACTAGACATAGACAGACCGGCCAAACAATCATACATGCTACAATGGGAAAAGGAGCTGAACTGCGAACTCGAGCCTGGATAGGGGCCATGACATTAGTAAAACGTGCATAGCTGCTCTGTGGAAAACTACAACAGTACCTGAAATAACGGCAGTACTCGCCAAAGTAAACCTCACCCAACAGTAAGAGCAGATGGCACATATAATAAGTGAAACACTAGAGCATTATAACAGAACCTGGTCTAAATGGTAATAGATATGGTAATACCCACATGTCAAACTGTACCCTATAAAGCTTTATAGCAAGAGAGCATCTCTACCCCTTTACCCCCTCACCCCCTACATTGTTTTCCTCTCCCAGTTAAACCCCCACACCCCCCACAAAATAAGGGCTTATAATGTTTAAACAAGCCCCAAAATATGAAATGATGAGCAGGGCTACTAGTTTCAAGCCCACACTGCACGCAAAAATGTAATGCATGGCTAACTGTCAACTATCCGGCCCACCCCAAATGTGAGCGGAGGACACTGGCTAGGTGATACTCTCCAGGTGCCTGAGGGTTACCACCCAGAGGCACGCTAACAAACCATGGAGCATAGCCAGCCTACCAGGTACCACAAACGGGGCATTACTCACCACTTACAACAAATCCATGAATGTCAACTAAAACGCAATATTGTACCACTGTCACAATGATATATTGTTCAATGCCGCGGAAAATTGTCATCACCTTACGTTTTGTGTTCTTATATACCATATGTAAAACGTGCAATGTCTGTTAATGTGTAAATCCAAACCTTTTCATCTCAATAAAAATGAAACATTTAAAAAATAAACATCAGCCAGGAAGCATAGGAACTGAGAAGTGGTCTGTGGTCACCACCTGCAGAACCACTCCTTTATTGGGGGGTGTCTTGCTAATTGCCTATAATTTCCACTTGTTGTCTATCCCATTTGCACAACAGCATGTGAAATTAATTGTCACTCAGTGTTGCTTCCTAAGTGGGCAGTTTTATTCCACAGAAGTGTGATTGACTTGGAGTTACATTGTGTTGTTTAAGTGTTCCCTTTATTTTTTGAGCAATGTATTTGTTGATTTCATAGAGA